CTTTTGAATTTTTTGTTCTTCCTCTGTACTAGTAATAAAGAAATTCAAAAGAATATTTCTAATTTTGTTTTGAAATTATGTTTTAGATTATTATCTCTATTTATTTTAAGATTTCACAAATGAAGAAATGTTAACAATAATTTCTAGTTTTTGTATAAAGAAAGTTTTAAATTTTGTTTATAATTTTTGCTGGTCAAAAATGGGAAAATAAATTTCAAATAATGTTTATCATTATGTAAGTTATTTTTTAAGGTAAGGAATTGTGAAATGCCCTATGTGTACCAGTAGTAAGATACAATAAGGGTTAACTCTCAACCATTATAATACCTTTCTTTGAATCTACTATATTACTCTAAGTCTAAAGAATGTCTGTCCCTTTAATAGTTGTCAGAAACACAAGGACAATATACAGAGCTTAAGAATGCCTCAGGGATTACTTTGTACTAGAGCTTAAAAACACCTTAGGGATTACCTTGTGTTAGTACTGAGGAACCCTTTACACATACCTTGGACTTCTTACTTCTATCTGATAGTGTTATGGTTCTCCACTCTCTTACCTTCAGTTCTGTACCAGAACTCAGGACTTCTGTCCCTCAGGGGCACTGTTTATAGACTATATGTGTGCTGACTCTTACTACTACCCTTCCTTACTTCATCATTCCATTCCTTTGACTACTCCTTCATTCTTTGTTCATTCTATAGTCTCTTACCCTTTGTCCATCCCTTCATTCTTTGTACCTTTATCTTTGACATTCCTTTCTTTCTTTCTTTATAGCTTATCATTCTTAGTAGCTCATACTCCCTGAGTACTCTTGTGTAGTTTAGTATATATAGGCATACAAGATCAGACTGGTCCTGTAGTCTTGATCTTGTCTACTCTAGGTAGTCCTGTACTCTTAGGCTCACTCTATATACTCTGCTCTTGTCTCACTCTCTCTCTCTGCCTGTTCTACAAGTTTTGACTACATTCTAGTACTTACATTCTGTATTTCTATTGTGTAGGATAGTTGTAGCCTGGGTCCCCTTACTAAGCCTTTGGGTCCCCTCTATACTGTTACTGACATCAGATTAAGACTCCCTATTACCACCCTACAACTCTCCTACATTTTGAGCATTAGTACTCACTATTGTGTTGATCTCTTTTCTTTGTCCCAACCCTTTTACATTTTTAACTTTTAAACTTTTTAAACCCTTTTAAAACTTTTACCACCCTTCTTCTATTCATTACCCCTTTTAGTTTAGTACTGATTCCTTTGTAGTATAAACATGGACCCTCCTACACCAACTGCCACCCCTACTGTCCTACCAGATTAGCAGTTACAAGCAGAACTAGCTCAATACATACAGACCTCTATCTAAGAGGCCTTTGCCAACCATGTGCCCCCAGCCCCTTCAGAACCCATTCTAATCATTCCAGAAGTTGTAACCTGTTCTAGAAAGAAAGTGTATGTAGCCTGCCCTTCAGACTTTAATAAGTAGTACTTTAAGGACTTCCAGTGCCAAGTCAAACTATATATGGCTACTACTTCAACCAATCTATCCTCAGATCTCAATCACATCCTATTTGTCCTCTCCTTCATGAAGGAAGGCAACACAGCCACCTGGGCCCAGAACTGGATCAAAGGACATTAGATTGGAAGCCTGATCTGACTTCAGAACAATGAGTTGTATTCAGAATTCATAGGGCAGCTCTGTACTTCCTTCATTGATCTGAATAAGAAGTACAATGTACAGAACAAGCTTGTGTCTCTGTAACAGGGCAAACATTCTACTGATGCCTTCTTTCAGGAGTTCAATATCCTGGCCCAGAAGGCAGGATTTGTACTCAGGTTTGATAATGTCCTTATTAGAATGCTTGAAAAAGCTCTTCACCTAGAACTGGTTAATAAGATTCTTAGAATGATACTAGAACTGGTTAATTACACTGAGTGGAAGACACACACTATCTCCTTCAACCAAGCTGTAGCTCAGATGTGTCAAGTCTGTACAGAATGCTTACACATGTGTCTGGCTCTGACAGTTCTGAGCCCTCAGATTGATCTGCCTGTAATTTGTAATCAATCTGTTCTAATAGACATTAGAGAAGCCTAAAAGTGAGGAGTATACTTTGCCTGCAGAAAGTCAGGGTACTAAATTAAGGACTGCCTACAGAAGTAACAGCATATCTGTCAGGTCATTAGAGTAATAATGAGTGACAAACAGGATTTGTAGTAAGAAGCCTTTTCTACAAATTCAGAAGTCACCTTAGAACTCTCAGACCCTGACTATATACCTTAGGATTTTGTGGAGGCCTAACAGTGAATGTAGTACTGAAGGGCTATGACTCAGATTTTTTAATGACTACTTTTAATTCAATAGACACTGTAGGATTAGAAGTAAATAAAGTAAGAAAAGCAGAAAAAGTAGAAAAAGTAGAAAAAATAAATTAACAAAATTATTTATTAGAAAGAAAAAAGTTGAAAACAAAAGTAGATAGTTCTCCTATTTCTTCTGATTCTTTTGATTCTTCTCTTTGTACTTCATCTGAGTCTAAATCTGTACAATCTAACCTACTACTTCTGTGTTTCAGGATCTTAGAACATTCAGAATACTACCTAGCCCTGTTTACTACTCAGTAGTTTGTCTATAGTATTAAGTAGGGATGGCCTCAGCTGAGTTCACAGCTAAGAACATGGGTCTGTTCTTGTTGAAAGAGAGAGGTTAATAAGGAAATGTTAGTGTATATACTTACCCTCTTAGACAACAAGACTGTACAAGCTGTATGTTCCCTTCAGAACAAGTAGTAGTTCATCAGAGGACATTCCAGGTACTAGCTCTAGGTCCCTGTCCTCTTGGCTCCCTTCTCAGGATCCTCTCAGATCTGAACAATAGCTCTGGTAGACAGTAGATACACTAGTTTGTATATTAATAAGGTCTTTGTGTAGGAACACTACCTCCCTACTCAATGTGTTCTACTTCTAATCCTAGTATACAATACAGACAAAACCCTGAACTGGAATGGTCAGATTACTGAGTTTGTCCAACTATGAATGACTATTCAGAATCATAAGGAAAGTATTGAGTTTAGAGTCACTAACCTTAGAAAGACAGACATCTTCATTAGATTCAAATGGCTCAAGGCTTACAATCCTACTATTAATTAGTTAGAGTAGACACTTGTGTTTAATTAGTGTTCTGAGTCTTGTAACTACCTTGTACTACTGTTCTAAGTCAATACAAACACTTCTAATGTTACTAACAGTTCTGATGAAGGTGACCAGTTGTTCTTCTTCAACTAGGATAGATATGTGGATACATATTCTAGTCAAGGTAGAACAGAGTTGATCTAAAGGATATCTGAGACAGAACCAGTCTGGAACCCTCTCAGAACAACTCTACTCTAGAACACACATAGACCCAGACTACTGGATTTTGTCTGAGAGTTCCTCAAAGTCTTTAGTAAAGAGGAATTCAATTAGCTTCCTAAACACTGTCTCTAGAACTATACAATTGAATTGACTAAGGGTTTCCAACCTAAGGATTGTAAGGTCTACCTACTCAACAGAGACAAGTAGGAGGCACTTGATGAGTTCCTTCAGGAAAATCTTCAGAATGGCTGGATCTGACCCTTAAAGTCCTCTATAGCCTCCTCTTTCTTCTTTGTCAAAAAGAAAGATAGGAAGCTCTGTCTAGTCCAGGATTATTGTTGTCTTAATAAGAGTACTGTCAAAAACAAGTACCTGCTCCCTCTAATTCAGGAGCTCATTAATAAGATGTATACATCTAGGGTTTTCACTAAGTTGAACATTTAATAAGGGTACAATAATATTTGGATATAAGACAGAGATGAGTGGAAGACTGTGTTCTGAACCAATTGTAGATTGTACAAACTGACTGTAATGTTCTTCAGACTAACTAACTTGCCTGCAACATTCCAGTCATTCATGAATCACATTCTCATAGATCTGATTGACTTAGAGCATGTTGGTGTGTATCTAGACAACATTCTGATCTTCACCTAAACAGTTAAGCACTATTACTAACTAATCTAAGCAGTTCTATAATAGCTCTAAGATAATAAACTGTTCCTCTAAGAAGTAAAGTACTCTTTTGTACAGGAGTCAGTAAATTATCTAGGCTTTGTGATTGGTGGAGGAGAGGTCTGTATAGATCTAGCAAAGGTAACTACAGTTCAGAACTGGCTACAACCTTAGAACCTGAAACAGGTCCAAGTGTTTCTT